TGGTGCGCTTTAAAATTTTCAATTCGATACAATGTAAAAAATAATAAATATATTCAGAAATTGTTTATTCAATAAAAATTAAAATTTACTACAAAATGTATAATTCAAATAATCTTCGTACAAGAAGAAATCAAAATAGTCAACAAATTCAAACAAAAATTTTCTAAAATCACTAACATCAGTTTTTTTTAAAATACTTAATGATTTAGTTAACCTTAGAACATTAATATCTTTTTTAATAAAATCATATTTGTTACGTAATGTTTTATAATTAGAAATATATTCTTCTTGTATATGCATTTTAATTACTTGTACAACCTGATATTCATCTTTATTTTTTCTGAAAAAATCTCTATAATCTCGAAGTTGATTCAGGTTCATTTCAAAAAATTCGTAAAGGATCTCTTCTTTTTCATCGATTACTTGATCAAATACAAACATTTTGAATAAATTATACCGTAATTATTTTTATATAAACAACAAGAATATTTATACAAAATTTCAGCAAACTAAAATAATCTATTAGTTCAGATGCTTTTCTGTATCGATCAGCTGATCTATTGAAGATTCCTCATGAGGAAATTTATAATTAGTATATATATTTATTTGAGTCCTCAAGAGTAAATCCTCATGAGGTTATTCGTGATCAATTCCTAATATTACGTAAAATTTATTTTTTTTAAATTTAATATTTTTATAATAAAATTCTTTATAAAAAGACTAGATATTTAAATCGTTATAACTCTAAAAAATGGCTGAAAATATCTTTTCCAAATACCTTACGAAAGAAGATATGATTTCTGTTATCAATTTTTTTTCAATAGATTTATTAATAAATCTTATTGAAAACAAATGTCATTTTACACCAAAAATTACTTTCACATATGGACAAGAACCTTTTTTTCCTTTTAATGTTAAAAAATATCATACTTCTAAAGAAAAACTTTCTGAACGTTGGTCTGAAATTAATAATATAGTTTTTCCTATTAAGATTGATTCAAATGATGATTTAAAAATGTTTTTTATCGATTCAATTATCAAAAATATCTTTCCTCAAATTTTATTTATTCATTCACAATATTCACCAGAAGATTTAGAAAAAAAAGTTAATGATATTAACTTTTTTAATAATCGTTATTCAAAAAAAGAACTTGCTTTATTTTTTGAAAAAGTTCCTTACTTTGGTCTTCATCAAAATGTATCTCTTATTCATTTACATAAAATGAATATAACAGAATTTGATCAAAAAGAAGTTTTTATTATTAACTTTAATAATATTGATCTTAAAAATCGTTGGGATAATTATAATAATCAAACTTCTTTTATCATTAGATTAGATGATATTCAATCTTATAAATTATTTACAATCGATTTAATTGTTAAAAAAATAATTCCAAGGGAAATTATTTCTATTTCTAAATATTCTCATGAAGAATTATTCAAAGATACAATTATATTTCAATGATATTTTTTATATATTTTAAATATTTATATTTTATTTACAATAAAGAATATATTAATTAAAATCTATTCGTAAACGTTTTTTAGATTTTTGAGATTCTATATTTGAACGTTTTTTGTTATTTGTAGAAGTACTTGACTCTGCAAATTCTTCATCTAGATTAATAATTTCTTGTCTATTTACAATTTGAATCTCTAAGTTTTGTCGAATTTCAAAAATATTATCCAAATCAAATGCAGATTCAATAAGATATCCTTGCCAATATCTATTATATACTACAAAATAATTTTCACCAATTTCACCAATGATTCCACCAAGAATATTTCTCATATCAACTCTAACTTTCAACCAAACATGATCATCTTTCATATATAGATTATCAAACTCATTATCATAAACATATTTTTTTGCTTCTTCTATAGTTAGAACTTCTTCTGTAAATTTGATATCAAATATTCCACTCAAAAATTC